TAGACCTAAGAAGAATTATAGCTCACCCATCATGCTCATTTCAAAAACACTTTTCATAGAATCACAGAAATCAGAGCATAGTTGATCATTGGTTGATCCAAAAACAATGTCATCGACATATACTTGAACCAAAAGAAGATCACCAGAAACACGTTTAATAAACAAGGTTTTGTCTACGGATCCTTGCTCAAAGCCTTGACTTAGTAAGAACGATGTGAGTCGTTCATACCAAGCACGAGGAGCTTGCTTAAGGCCGTAGAGAGCTTTATTTAGTTTTAAAACGTAGTTTGGATGTTCAGGACTTACAAAACCAGGGGGCTGGGTTACATAGACATCTTCTTCTATGATACCATTTGAGAAGGCACTCTTAACATCCATATGATATAATTTAAAGTTCATATAACTGGCAAAAGCATAAAGAAGACGAATTGATTCGAGACGAGCAACAGGTGCAAATGTCTCATCATAGTCAATCCCTTCTTCTTGTGAGTATCCTTGAGCAACTAAACGAGCTTTATTACGGATTATTATACCTTCTTCATCAGTTTTATTCCGAAAAACCCATTTTGTTCCTAAAGGGGTCACAGTATCAGGACAGGGAACTAGATCCCACACATGAAGATGTTCAAATTGAGTCAATTCTTCAATCATAGCAAAAGACCATTCATCATCTTTCAGGGCTTCCTTATAATTGCTAGGTTCATGTTGAGAAACAAAGACATATTGTCCAGGAGTATATTTACCTCGAGTTTTGACCCCATCTGTTATTTGGCCAATGACCTGACTTGTGGGATGTCGTTTCTTGATGTGTGCTGGAGCTGTCATAGTGTCTTCCGCATCCAGATTGTGAGTGTCAAGTTCTGGTTCACACGAGTTGACTTCAAGAGAGTCTGCAGATGCAGTAGGGAGTGGTGTAGGAATCTCTTGATGTGTGTCTACCTCAGAATTGACAATCCCAGCAGGAGTCGAAGAGTCTGCATCTGTAGTTTGAGCTGTGGCCGATGCATTTGAGGAGTGTGTCATCTCTGCAAAGTCAAATACTTCCATATCTGGGTTGCTAGGCTGCAAAGCTATGTTAGTTTCATCAAAAGTTACATGCACAGTTTCCTCAACTCGTTTGGTCCTTTTGTTAAACACCCTAAAAGCTTGACCTTTAACAGAGTATCCAAGAAAAATCCCTTCATCAGACTTGGCATCAAATTTGCCTAAGTTGTCCTTGGTATTCAAGCAATAGCAGCGACAACCGAAGGGATGAAAGTAAGAAATGCTTGGTTTCTTGCCTTTAAAGATTTCATAAGGTGTTTTATCTAAGTGTTTACGAATTAAAACTCGATTTCCTATATAGCACGCTGTGCTAACTGCTTCTGCCCAAAAATATTTAGGTAATCCATATTCAAGAAGCATGGTCCTAGCACATTCAATTAAGGTACGGTTTTTTCTTTCCACAACCCCATTTTGTTGAGGTGTACGAGGAGCAGAGAAGGTATGATGAATTCCTAAAGAATCACATAAGCTTTCAAATTCACCAGAGATAAATTCTCCGCCATTGTCACTTTTGATGGTTGAGATTTTCTGATCGAAAGTAAGAGCGAAAGTTGAAATTTTAAAAAAGCTTCACTCTTATGCCCAATAAAATACACCCAAGTATATCGAGAAAAGTCATCAACAAGAACAAATGCATAATTTTTACCTCCTAGACTAGAAACATTGCAAGGACCAAAGAGATCCATATGGATTAGTTCAAAAACTGCAGAGGTTGTAATTCCATATTTTGGTTTGAAGGATCATTTAGTGTGTTTGCCTTGAACACAAACATGGCAAAAAAAATCTGATTTGTCTTTTAATAAAGGAATACCACGAACTAATTCAGATTTAGACAGACGAGACAGAATGGATAGACTAACATGTCCTCACTTACGATGCCAACGGAGTTCTAATTGTGATGCAGCCACAAAACATATTTCACCTGATGATCCTAATTTCTGAAAATTAATAACATACATGTTATTCTGACGTTTTCCAACAAACAAAGTTTCGTGATCTTGTGAGTTTTCAACGACACAATGAGATGCTTCAAAAATCACTTTATATCAACTACTACATAACTGACTTATTGAGAGTAAGTTATGTTTTAGACCCTCGACCAGCAAAACGTTATGAATGACAGGAAAGGGTTCTCGGCCAATAGTACCATGACCAATGATATTTCCAGAACTATCATCATCAAAGATAACCTTACCACCGTTTCTAGGGGATAGAGAAGAGAACAACTGCTTTGTGCCAATCATGTGATGTGAGCACCCACTATCCATATACCAGTGGGGCTCATCATTCATGTCTGAGTTAAATGTTGCTGTTTTGAAGGCAAGTTCAGCTGAAGAGTGAGTAGAGTTACCTTCTACATTCATGGCAAAGGCCATAAATGCTTCCTCGTCTACCTGATCATCATCTAACTCAGAGTCGTAGTCACTCCAAGAGGCCATCATGGATTTTTCTTTGGCTTTGAGTGTGAGAGGACAATGTGCACGGATATGGCCTGGTTGGCTACACTTGTAGCAGCCTTGTGGTTCCTTATCCGAAGTACCTGCATCCACATCTCTGGTCTGCCTAGAAGGTAGCCTATCCTTGAAACCAGGGTGAGTTCTATCATGACTAATGAATTTTCCGGAGGTGTTATTGAACCGTTTTTGCTCATTCTTATGTTTAATTATTTGTTGAAGGCGCTTACTAAGAAAGGCTATTTCCCTATCAATATCAAGAATGGAATCATCTTCAGAGTCATCCTGATAGACTCTAGTTCGAAAAGCGAGACTTTTCTGCCTCTTATCTTCACCATGAACTTGCCTAACAACATGCTCATGGCTCAATAATGAACCAATTAATTCATCAACTGGTAAAATATTTAGATTTTGCGCCTCCTCGACTGCAGTTCTTTTAGGTAACCATTCCTTAGACAATGAACGAAGAATCTTGCGATTTATATCCTTACTTATGAAAGATTTTCCTAAACCCTTTAATTTGTTTAGAATGATAGTAAAGCGAGAATACATGGATTGAATATCCTCACCTGAGTTCATGGCGAATGTCTCGTATTCGTGCATTAGGATATCGATGCGTGTCTCCTTGATGTTCGAGGTTCCTTCGTATGTCTTCTCAAGTGCAATCCAGATCTCCTGAGCCGTGTCGCAGTGCTCGATCTTATCCGTCTCAGTCGCTGCCATGGCCGAGTGAAGAATATGCATCGCCCTTTTGTTGAGCTGGGCACTTTTCTTCTGAGCATCATTCTAGGTGGATCGCAGGGCAAGATCCATGGCAAGAGGACCATCGCTTACCACCGTCCAGAGAGCTTCATCGACTCCCCAAAGGAAAGTTTCCATTCGGCGTTTCCAGGAGGTGTAATTCATTCCTGTGAATAAAGGCGGATGAGTGTATGATGCATGACCAAAAACAGAGGAGCCCATGATCGATTCCCTTGGCAGTATGTAGCTCAATCAAGGGATTAGCTCTGATACCAATTGAAATCAAAGGGACCAATTTTAGGGATTGTAAGTTTGGGAAAGTAAAGCAGAAGAAGAAGAGGGAAGAAGATCGAAAATGAAGGAGAAGTCCTTCAGTGTTTTTCGTTCTGATTCTCCCCTTCAGTTTGGGCCAGAGCTTCTCAAGCCCACTCGAAATCTATGAGCAGAAAGTCAACGTTGAGATAGGCTTGAGGATTGGTGAGCCCAGCTGAGCAGACCAATAGAGAACACTTAGGTCTGTTTTCTTCCTTGGATCAAAATCCTTGGAAAACAGAGAATTGATATGGAAGATGAAGTGCGAAAAGAAAAGTGCAGAAATCTAAAGAACACACGATATTTTTAACGTGGCTCACCCTGGTGCAATGGGCTACGTCCACACCTACGACTCTATTTTTATTTTCTTTACGATCTAACTTACCCGTACAAAAGAATCAAATTGAAACAAAGACTCAAAGAAAGAAATTCTAGAAATAAAGTAGAATGACGAATAAGCAGCCCAAATTCCAAACTCTGAAATTTGTAACAAGCACTAGCAAAGAACCTCTTCCCCTTTGCTAAACCTTTTGTTTAGAAACCCTTTGCCGTTCTCTCACAAAAGTGCCTTGAGGTAATGCGATTCAGTCCCTTTTATAGATGAGGAGGTGAAGATTTGTGTGAGTTGGAAACACCTCGTCTTTCCTTATTTGCAACGCTTGATTTAGGGAGTGATTCTTGAGCTGATTATGTAATCAATCAGTTGATTGATTTTGACTTGATTTCCAAACTTCTAGTGATGTTGATTTACTCCCAACGAGCTATTTTGTCGACTGTCTCTGATTTCCCAAATCTTTCTACAGTGGAGTGTGAATACATTTTTCCACACATAACCGTACTGTCAAACCCAGAACTCTAAAATTTCGCAGACTAAATTTTGGTTTCGACCCTAAGGTCGAGATCGAACCATGTGGTGTTCGACCCACCACAACTAAGGTCGATGGCGACTCCGATCATCGTGCGACGAGCTCCCAATTTCGAGGGGCGGTTGTGACACTCAAAATCTATCTTTCTCTCTCAAAACAACGAAAAGTTCAGAATGTTGCTCTCTCTCTCGACCGGTTTGCGATTGATCTAGATTCCTATATCTTGAAAATTTGGGGTTTTGGATTTTTTTGTTTATTATTATTATTAGAAAGGAAAATGAATATAGAAATTTTAAAAATAATATTTTTATCATGTGTTTGCTAACGTGGCATAGTTATGGCAAAAAACAATTTTAAAATTCACGAGACAAAGTAAAAAGTTTGTGTATAATTCGGACCAAATTAAGGTATTAAAAAAAACCCTCTAGTTGCCCAACAATCGTGAGAAGTGAAGGCTTGTTTGTTTGTCTTTTTCTCTTTTTGTGGGTTTGAAATAGAAATGTTGATTTTTTATTTATCAACGAATGTTCTCTACCACTTATTAAGACTGGACTTTACCCCGAAGCTTTTTTTATGCTAAATTGCAAGCGGAAACACTTCTGTTCGTGGTTGTTTCAGTATGGCTATCTGTGCGTTATTTTCAACTTCCCCTCTCTTCATTTGCACCTCGGGTAGCCGTAGCAAGCAGTTCATCGCTAACCGACGCGTCACAAGTCCGTCAGCTGCTCTAAATTCTTCGTTGCCGTCATCGTCGTCCTCCCCTGAGTCTGCACCAAGAGAAAGCGTAGTTTCGTCCAAGAACCCATCAAAGCCGTTCGTTGAATCATCCCGACCTTCTGAATCGGGCTTCAACTACGCTCTCGCCAATCCCAATGGCAACCCAGCAGTCGTCCGCTTCGTTAGGTCTACCGAGTCCATGATCGAAAGGGTATGCAAGTTTCTGTCTTTTTTTTCTTTAGTATTCTGCTTGATTGTACGCAACCTGTTTGATGTTTGGTTTCTGAGAAATACTACTATTAAAGCTGTGAACTGTTATCTGTTGTTTAATGGCAAGCGAGATATATAGGCTTTGGGAGAAAATTACGAGTGCATACCGTGGTTGTTTTAATCTGTTTTGATTTTCTGATGATAGGCTTCTGACGGAAAACAGTCTTGGGTTTGATTTTGGACTGTTTCCGGCCAGTTGCTTCGACGCTGTAGGCTGCTCTAAATCGTGTGGCTTCAGAATTTTTTGCTCATTATGATGACTCACTCAATCTTTGTTCTTTTCCTTGTTGAATTATTGAGCCAACAGGCTATCTTTGACTTCCGCTTCTTGGCGCTTTTTGCTGTTGCGGGCTCCTTGGCTGGTTCACTCCTCTGCTTCCTCAATGTACTTGCTTCTCATGATCCCTTTCCTCATTAGTCGTTAGTCGTTACGCTGCAACTTGGGAAGTGAATTCCTGACTGTCATAACTTGAGTTCGTTTGGTAAAATCAATCGACATGTACCAATTTCGAGCCTTTCACCAGGAAAGAGTAGATGACTGAAAGTCAATTTCTGGGTTTGGGACTGGAAGAGTACTGTTGCATGCTTTAATTCGATCCCTTGTTGCATCATGACATGTTCGTGCGTAGGGCTGTATCTACATCGTTGATGCCTACAGAGTCTATTGGTCAAGCTGCGTGAAAGGTGTTCATTCAGGACAGATGGTTTTGCGTCTAGTTGAGGCCATTGGTAAGAGACCCTTGATGCAATGCACCTATCTGTATTTTCTTCATGTACTTCGAATGGGGATCGCTAGCAGAGTTTGAGATTGATACCCTTTTTGATGCAGATGTGTACCTTGCTGGTACCGTGATGTTGATCTTTGGCATGGGATTGTACGGGTTGTTCATCAGCAACGTCCCTCACGATGTCCACCCGAGTGATGATCGTGCTCTGAAAGGATCCTCTTTCTTTGGGATGTTTGCACTCAAGGAGCGGCCCAAGTGGATGAAGATCAGCTCCCTGGACGAGCTGAAGACGAAAGTAGGGCATGTCATAGTGATGATTCTGCTGGTGAAGATGTTTGAGAGGAGCAAGATGGTGACGATAGCCACGGGGATGGACCTCTTGAGCTACTCCGTATGCATCTTCTTGTCCTCTGCTTCCTTGTACATCCTCCATAATTTGCACAAGCAAGAATGAAAAAACACAACCAAATACTGATTTATATACTCGGAAGCTAATTTATCAGTCATTCCCATTGTGTGTTTGTACATATATTATCAATATATGAGTCCACTTATTGTTCTCATGTTGCTTTCATCACAAGAAAACTTGTGTTTTTCAAAAAAAAAAAAAAAAAAAATCATCCGAAGAAAAGAAAACGTGTGTTTTTCTATGTATATTTTTTTGTTTGAGTTCAATGAATGCACCTTCAATTTTTTTGGACAAAGATTGTAACACTTTGGTTAAAACCCATCGACAAACCCATCATTCACAAGATTCCAGCCTACCTATTTCAAAGATACTAACAATGACAACGCAACTTGACTGAATCCACAAGTCAACTAGTTTCGGCTGGTATTACAGGGATTTTTTCAGAAATAGCACTGTTTAAAAAAAAAATTCCTAAAATAGCACCTAAGTCCGAAAAATTCCAAAAATAGCACCCTTTTCCAAAAACCGCTCCCTACCAGTGCGGTTTAGGCGAAAACCGCCATCTAGGGGCGCGTTTTTCGATGAAAACCGCACCCCCACCATGCGATTTGGTTGCAGATCGCACCCCCAGGGTGCGATCTGTGTTTTTTTTTTTTGTTGAAAAATCCTAACCTAGGTGGAAACTTCAAACGGACGTATCTTTGTGTTCAGGTATCCAATCGTCGCAAAATTTTTTTTGATTCCGCATAACTTTTTGAGATCTTGCAAGCCAAAGGTGGTTTGGTCCCGCCTTCATCCCAAAAAATGTCGTTCGCTACCCCGAACGAGCTTTTTTCCGATTTCGTCAAACTTTGGACAACCATAACTTTGTGCTCCAAAATCCAAACAACATGAATTTTTTTTTATTTCGCATAAATTTTTAAGGACTACAACTTTTATCATAGACACAATTTCAAAATGTACGTGGATTGCTGAGAAGGGAAGGTAAGCTATTCCCAAAATCCTGTATATCCAAAAATAATTCCTGTTTTGAAAATTCATTATAGTAAAAATTGTAGTCCTTAAAAAGTTTGGCGAAATAAAAAAAAAATTCATGTTGTTTGGATTTTGGAGCACAAAGTTATGGTTGTCCAAAGTTTGAAGAAATCGGAAAAAAGCTCGTTCGGGGTAGCAAACGACATTTTTTAGGACGAAGGCAGGATCAAACCACCTTCGGCTTGCAAGATCTCAAAAAGTTATGCGGAATCAAAAAAAAATTCGCGACGATCGGATACCCGAACACAAAGATACGTCCGTTTGAAGTTTCAACCTAGGTTAGGATTTTTCAAAAAAAAAAAAAAACAGATCGCACCCTGGGGGTGCGATCTGCAACCAAATCACATGGTGGGGGTGCGGTCTGCCAAACCGCCCCCTGGGGGTGCGGTTTTCATCGAAAAACGCGCCCCTGGGTGGCGGTTTTTGCTTAAACCGCACTGGTAGGGAGCGGTTTTTCAGAAAGGGTGCTATTTTTGGAATTTTTCGGAGTTGGGTGCTATTTTTGGAATTTTTTTTTTAAAAAGTGCTATTTCTGGAAAAATCCCGGTATTACAAGATGCTAGCCATCCACATTTACAAATCAAGTTTGGCAAGGATGAGAACTGTTCTTCAACCATATCAAACTCCAAACAGCACAACAGTAAGATTCCACCTGAATTACCTTTGAATGAACATCCAGAACACAATTAACTATGTCAAAGTCTCGCACCAAGGCTTCCTGATTAACCTAATGCGGAAATGCGATATTGAAATTGGAATGAGAAACAAATCCTAGTTCGAAGCAGTTTCTAGACGAATGCGAAGACCGTCTTCAATTCAAGCCACGGAGTAGTCGGAACGGGCGCCTTGTTAGAAGATTAAGTATCATATTGTAATTAGCCGTGGTAATTAGAGTGTGTATGATTATTGCCGTCTAACCTAGCATGGACTGTACGTATATAGGTGCATTAGGGCTGCCGATCTCTGTATATTTCTGGTGAATAAGATTATTTCTGCCTGGTGCCGTGGACTAGTCCCAACAATCAAACGTTGGGGAAACTACGTAAATCTCGTCTTGTGTTATTGTTCTTCTGCTCTTGATTATATTTGACATGGTATCAGAGTCTGTTCAATTCTTCTAGTCGTTTCTTCTGGGTTTCGTGAGCTGTCTCTTGGGATTTCGCAACTTGTTCTTGGCTCTCGATTCTTGTGTGATGCAGTGGGAATTTCCGCAGCTTCTTTTGGGGTTTTTTGGGAATCACAGCTTCTCCTGAGCTCTCGGCTTTTGTGTGCTGTAGTGGGAATTTGCGCCGCTTCTTCTGGGTTTTTTGGAGCTTCCTGCCGTTTTCCAGGTTCTGTCCTTTTCTTTGTTGTTGTGCGCTATTCTAGTTCCCGTTTGTCTATCTCGTCATGGATTCACTCAAGGTTGAGGCTGTCTCTGTTAAGCTAAACGGGAAGAACTTCCCTCTTTGAGAGTTCCAATTCCGTCTGTTTATTCAAGGGAAGGGATTACTCCCTGTCTGGATGGTTCTGCTAAGCCTCCTCATGCGGATGCTGATCCGAAACAACAAGAGGCTTGGGCTATGAGCAATGCTCAGGTCGCCAGCATACTATTATCGTCGGTTGAGCCCTCGATCGGTCTGGGATTGAGGGGGTTTGCTATGTGGCAGCACTTGGTCAATCTTCATACTCACGTGAGCGCCTCCCGCAAGTTCGATATTGAGCTAGATCTTGCTCGCTTGCAACAGGGCGATCTTGATATCAAATCCTATTATCAGGCTGCTCTCCAATTGTGGACCGAGCATGATCTCATAAGTCAGTCTCTAATTTCCACTGAGGCCTCTGCTGAAGTCATGAAGGAGCGTGCTAGTTCCCGTCTTATGACGTTTCTCATGAAGCTCAATCCAAGTTTTGAGTCGGTACGTGCTTCCTTGCTGCATCGAAATGTGAATACTATTGAAGAGGTTTTGCCGGAGCTGCTTCGTGAGGAGACACGGCTGAGAAGTCAAGCAAAACTCGATGTTCACTCTTCTGAGGTTGGTTCGGCCTTTTCTGCACAATCTGGTAATCCCCGATTTCATCGTACTCCTTCTGGTGAAGTTAAATGTCATTATTGTAAGGAACCGGGTCATATCCTGGTCCATTGCAAGAAACACAATGGGTGTGCCTATTGCAAATCAGATGGGCACAAGATAGCTGATTGCCCCATTCTGGCTCGTCGCAATGGGTCTCAACGTCCTGGCACATGTGGTGGGAACTCTTCCTACTCGTCTGCATCCCGAGGTCCAGCCTATGCAACAATGGTGGATTCAGTTGCTACTTCCTCTACTGCTGCTCTTAGTCTTACTCCGGATGCTATACGTCAGTACGTGCATGAGGCCTTGAAGGATGTCCTTCCTTCGGCTCTCACCTCCGTCTTTTTGCACTGGTACGGTTCCTTCTTCTCGTCTCTCTTGGCATCTTGATTTGGCTGCGTTTAATCACCTGACCAACTCGTATCAGTCTTTTACGGGATTACAGGCAACTCCTCCTGTTAATCTCCAAGTAGCCGATGGAACCACCTTGCATGTTCAGGGGGTTGGGACAATAGTCAGTCATGGTGTACGGCTGCCGGATACTCTCTATGTGCCGAAGCTTGTTCCCAATTTGGTTTCTGTAGGTCAGTTGGTTGAAGATGGTTGCCGTATTGTTTTTGATCCTCATGGGTGTACTGTGTAGGACATAAGGACGGGGGTGGAGATAGGCCGCGGGAGTAAGTGTGGGCGGGTTTTCTCTCTGGATCAATACTCGAAGAAGGGTCTTGCAGCTGTGACCGGTGATCGAGAAACTATGGATGCAGGGAGGGAGCCATTGCGCAAGGAGTTGAATTTGATTTCTGTTTCTAATAATTATGGATATTCTGTGAAAGTTTCGGATTGGAATTTGTGGCATAGTCGGTTAGGTCATCCGCATTCTAGTCGGCTTGCGGATATGTTTAAGAATAAATTGTTACATGGGCATTATACTGTTTCAGATACTCATCATCCCTGTGTTCATTGCATTGAGGCAAAGATTTCTCAACGGTCTTTTGGGTCGAGTTCTATTGTGTATAATGATCCGTTTGATTTAGTTCACACTGATCTCTGGGGTCCGTCGCCAGTTACTTCTCGTTTGGGTTTTCGTTACTTCGCCTTATTCATTGATTACGCTACCCGGTTTACTTGGGTATATTTTCTACGGCAGAAATCGGATTTGCTTGTCGTTGCCTGGGAATTTCTAAAGATGGTTCAGACTCAGTTTGGAAAGATGGTGAAAGTCGTGCGGTCGGATCCCGGAGGCGAGTTTTCGTCTAATTCTTTACTTGAGTTATTTCGTGATCGGGGTATTTTACAGCAGCAGTCTTGACCAGACGTCCGCAGCGAAATGGGTTGGTGGAGCGCAAGCATCGTCATGTTCTTGAGCTTACCCGTGCATTCTGTTCGAGTCCCGAGTGCCCACCTAAGTTCTGGGCTGACCATTGTGTACTTAATCAACCGCCAAATAACTCCGGTGCTCCACCAAATAAGTCCATATCAAGCGTTATAGTTGAAACTTCCTGATTATACACATCTCCGAGTATTTGGTTGTGTATGTTATGTTTTACTCGCTTGCCGTGAAAGGACGAAGCTCTCTCCCAAGGCAGCCCGGTGTGTATTTCTAGGCTATAGTGATAAACACAAGGGCTACGTATGTTACGATGTTGCTGGCCAGCGGATCTGAATCTCTTGTCATGTAGTTTTCTTGGAAGATAAATTCTATTATTATTCTCCTGCACCCGCAAGCTCTTCTCCTGTTGACACTTCTTTGGACTTCTTGACCATAACGTTTCCAAGTCCAGGTGATGGTTCGCAGGCATTGAATTTCTCCTCTGCCTCCACCAGCAGCTCCGCAGAGGATTCTTCCCCATCATCATCGCCCTCTTCCTCGTCTGAGACGCACAACAGCAGCTCGCCCTTTGCTCCTCACATTTCTCCTGCCAGCAGCTCTCCGCCCAACTCATCGTCCGCCTCGTCCTCCCGCTCGCACTCTTTATCTGCTGACTCCGTTGCTAGTCATCTCGCCTTTGAGGAGGAGGTGGTCTAGCCTCCACTGCGGCGGTCTACAAGGGTCACTAAGGGAGTTCCACCGCCATCCCTAGTGATTTTATTTCTTTTGCCACTACTTATATGCCGGTTCCCGCTACGTACAAGCAAGCATGTGGGGTGGAT